CAGTTCCTTTCTTCCAATACATTTCCTTTTCATTTTAGAATTTTTGGATTTAAAGATTTTTAATATTCTAAAAAAAAACTAAATGCATTTAGAATGTATACAAAAAGCTGGTAATTTTATTTCATTAGTCATATGAACATTCAGAAGAAATATATATGGTAAGGACCGGTTACAGAGCTGGTGTGACAGAATTTTTTGAATTTAGTGACACACTAAGCAACAAAATCTAGAAATGACAAAACTTTTAGAATTTAGAGCAGACACTGGAAGCAGAATTTAGGATCCACAGAGATTGAATCAGGTGGGAAATGTGTAGTGCCAGCCCTGTGTATGATGCATTAAGATAGGGGTCTTCAACGAGTGGCCCGCTGAAGGCATTTTAGTGGCCCCACATTTGAATTTGAGGGAATTTTAAGAAATTTTGATTTCAAGAAAAACTGCCTTCTCAGCTTTTTGACTTTAAAAAAAAAAAAAAAAAAAAAAAAAACCACTTTTGTTCCTCTTATTTTTTATATTTAAAGCATTTTATTGACGGGCCTGATATTATTTGAGATAAAAGTTTCTAAAAATGGTGTCAATGATTTGAACTACTGCTTAGTTGTACTACTTGTTCACAATCTGTATTATTTTATGAAAGCTTTTGAGACAAAATTAATCCTGCCTGTAAGTCAGTTGCTAAATAAGAATTCCACTCACTTTCCAAAATTGATGGTGTGAAGAACTCTACAACATGGAATTCAAAGAATTTTACACAATGCACATCAAATTTGAAAGAGGAATTCAAAAACCGATTTTCGTGAAAATGAAATTTTATTAGAATGTTATCCTTGCCATTTTCAGTAGACGTTGGAAGTCACCTGAACTTCGATTAGAATTTATAGATTTACACTGACTACGCAATAAAATACAAGTTTCTTGAAAATCCTACATTAATTGATTTCATTCGAAGTACGTGACCGAAGACAAGTATCCAGGAATTCGTAAACATGCACTCTTCATGACTTCTATTTTTGGCAGTACCTACATATGTCAACAGCTTTTTACGGATTGCTACAACACAGACTAAACAGATAGTGAAACTTTAATCAAGAATAAACAATGTAAAATTTCGCATTAAAACTAAAGAAACTACCATCCCCGCCAGTAATGTAAGTTTTTTTTTTTTTTTTTTTTTTAAAAACCTAATAGCATTTTGTAACATCATCCTGTGCAATCATCTTTATACTTTTTTCCATAGTTAAAAAAAGTTGCAAAACATTTAAATTCGGTTTTCACTTGATTTTTTGAACCAATGTATATATATACAAATCTGTAACACTATCTCTTCGCTTAGAATCAATTGTAGTCTTATAAAACAAACCTCCCTTTTTTATATAAATTTTCTGACTACACTATTTTTTGACAGACATATGGCCCACGTATCTTTGTGAATTTATTGATGTGGCTCTCGGGCGTGAAAGGTTGAAGACCCCTATATTAAGACATATTAGATAAATCTATTAAATTGTCAGTTTTCAATCTCTTTATTAATGAAAAACTTCCTTTCTATAATGCCTGTCCATGTCATAAGATTAGAAGCATTTTTGATACTTTCCATGCTTGTGTCTAGAACAAAATAAGGGGAAGATAAACACGTAAAAAAAAAAAAAAAAAAAAAAAAAAAATTTTAGCTTTAGCAGTAAAACATTCAAATATTATGTTTTCAATGTTCTTTCAGATGTTCTACAAAAAGTAAGAAATTCATCGCAAACTTTCTATAAAATACATCCATTACATGTAAATACCATGGAGGCATTTTTCATTTTGTCACATTTTTCTGGAATCTTCTAGAATTGTGGGTCTATAAATCTTGCTTTCCAATCCTCCTAAACTTTCCAAGGTGCACTGTCTAAAATCCTAAAGAAAAATTACTCCTACGAATTCTATAACAGCAAACAGTCAGAAATATTATGGGAAAAAATATCAGAGGGAAAAGGTGTAAAATTAATTTTATAGAGGAAACTGATGCATATTCTGTGAATTCTGAATATTCTGAGACAATAACATGGGAAAACCCTTACCATAGAAAAAATTAAAAAGAAGATATTTTAAATTAATAACATAGCTAATTTTGCTTTTGCTAAGAACTGTTTCATAAATTGGGCTTTATAGCATTATACCTTATTTTTCAGATTCCAAATATTGTATAATAAGTGGCCAAAATGGAACTATATAATATGAAGCAAAAAATAAAAATGTTTTATTTTAATGTTATTTTTTAAACATTATTTTAATGAAATTTATCAATGTTACAATGTTTAAAAAAAATCATCGAAAAATTCACAAATCTCGGAATTAAAAATTTTTTATTGAAACTGATCTCAAAATTGCTCAAATGTTGATAAATCGACAAATGTAGAACCATAAAAGAATTCACATCCTCAAAAGTGAAAAGTTGTTTAAGAGCTCTTCATTAGAAAAAATGAAATAATTTTAAAATGCTTATGTTTCCTGTCTTGCTCAGAAACTCAAGTATCCCACCATGCATATTAGAAATAGGAACAAATTATAATCCCCGAACCCATTTTACCCTTTGTGGTGCACTACACTTTGAAGTCGGTATTTCAACAAGAAAAGTTATATGCAGTCTATCTAGGCCTAAAGGAGTATACAGATAAAATTTTGTAAAACTTGCACTTACCGTTCCAATTTTATGGTGTTCCATGAGGTGGAACATGCGCCACAGAGCTCTTAAAAGTGCGACCTAAGCGAGCATTGCAGTGAAGCACGGAAATTAGTAAGCTTATGGATAGTAATGAAAAAACATGTATTATGGGTATACAAGGTTTTCTGGATATACACAAAATTCTTGAAATATATGGATAAAGAGAAAATTTGAGTATATACACAAGTCTATATACAAAAATATTTACAAATTTTTCGATTTCATAGCTTCGTGAAATTTTCAAAGCATGTCACATCTTTTTGATAGAAGCACAAACCAACTTTGCAGTGTTTGTTTCATGCGGCCTCTATTGCATGCAACAATATGTTTAGAATTCCAAGTAAAAAGAAAGAGAAAAAGAAACTCTTTCCTCTTCTGAAAGAGTTTTGCTGCCATTTATGGAAAATTAATAATAAAAGATTAACTGCAATTAATATTAACAATAAAGAAAGATAAGCTATAAGATATACATACACAAAAAATATCTACACAATTATTGTAAATAAACGGGACTGAGACTAAAAAGCGATAGCAAAATAATTCGCGCAGCTCCCCTAAGTAAAGATGACTCAAGCTACTGATAAAATTCCCGCCTGAAAACTACTCACAAAAATTTCAAGATGCCCATATTAGGGTTTTCATAGCACAAACCACGCCTCACCCCTCAAGACTTCTTTGCTTGAATTCCTTCCCCCCCCCAAAACCACGTAAATAGAAAACATATACAACAGATATTTTCTCCTAAGACAGATGTTCTGATGTGTAATAGCATGAGATCGCTAAAGGCGCAGTGTTCCCGCTAATGGAACACCCCATTTTATTTAATGAATTTTTGTATGAAAAATGTAAAAAAATATACAGCAAATAATATAGAGTACAGCCATCAAAATTATACGGAATTTCTTTGTCAAACGAATTTTTTTGTGTCACAAAAAAATATAGAAAATTACTACAAAATAAGTGGATTTTAATAACACATCATAAATGAGAAATCTGGGTCTCCTTGTGATATGCTGCCATTTACTATTTTAAAAGAGAAGTTTGAAGTATATTATAAAGGCATTTTTATCAATTTACGGTTGAATTTAACGGTTTCAGAAGCGATTCAGTTTGGGTGTCCCATGAGTGGAACACTGAGCAACAAAGGGTTAAAAGATAACCATATTTGTCAGTCAATCACCAAAAATATTCCTCCAAAATGCCAATTCACACTAAAAATGGCAGCCGTAAAAACAGACAGAAATTTCTGATGATTAAAATTAAGGACCTTCTATCCATTTTGGCCAAAATTAAGGACTTTTAAGGATTCTTAAGGACCATACGAACCCTGTACATTTTTATATATTCAGATATGAGAAAGTTGATGAACTAAATGACAGGACACAGCGAAAACATCAAGCCTATGTCCTTGAAGCCATTCATTTCCTTTTTCATACATTTATACAAAATTTCTCTTCATTTGCTACTACTGCTTTAACAGTTTTTCTCTAAAAAGGCTTTCCTATAGGCAAGCCTTCCTTTCCTTTAAGAAGGGGAACATGTAAGATATAAAATATGAAGGAAAATTACTAAGAAATTAAATTTAATTGGAACAAATTTCTAACTTAATTAGCAAAAGCCCTTTAAATTCTTAATTTTAATTAAATACATTCTTTCTTCAAGGATCCATACTACACCATTTTGCATGATCTTTTTCCCTGCAATACGAAAACTCTTGCCCAGTTTCTGCTCAGGATTAGAAGAAAGGATTTGAGCCTTTAAATAGTCCTATTTATTATGCGATCTTCACTGCTTGCACTTTCCTGCTAAAGTGACATCTCTTTGCAAAGCTGTACTTTTCTACTACATAAAATGTAAGCTGCGTATACAGAAACTGTGGGATACTTATATCATGCTCCCAGTGTTGTATCAAATCAAGGATATATCCCAAGAAATTAATAAATAACGTATTGACATCAGCACATTGTCTGCAACTCCATCTTTCCATCTCCATAACATCATCAAACTATCTTCCATACAGCATCATTTATTTATATGTGAGCTACATCTCTCTATAATATTTCGGCCATGACTAAAAAGGAAACTGGTTTATCTTCCACAAACACTACATCATATATATAATAAAATACTTTCAATATCAATTACCGTATAACATTAACTACAACTTTCCTGGATGCTCACAAATTCTTTTCTACAGATGGGCAGGAAAACTAGATGTCAGAAGATTACATAACTTCATACCTATTAATTCATACTTTTTATTTTGTTTAAGGAATTGCTATAATTTAATACTTACCATCAAAACCTCAGAATCCTTTTGAACTTCACCTTCCCATTCATAACTACAGAGGAATGAGAAATCATTATTTTATTTAGAACTTGGAACTGAGGTATAGTAGAAAAACTAATTTCAATTTTGAATTTATATCAAATCCAGGGATAAACTATAAAGAAAGAAATTAACCTAAACAATGAGCATGAGTAGCTACTTTTAGTGTAGCTTGAGTTAGCATAAGAAAATCTTAATACATACTATGTGCATCATGTACAAATTATTTTCTAAATTCCACTGTAATAACAACATAAACAATCTGTAATACTATATTAAAAATAGATAAACATTTTATTGCTTCTCTTTAGTCTTACAATCAAATCTCAAAATAAGAACTATAAAATTTATATGCAATATAACTATAATTTATATGCAATAAGTCAACATTCTCAAAAATCAATCTAAATAATGTGGTCTTTCCTTATTATTACTTCCCTAGGATTAAGTTTTAATTTTAAAAAATGTTAAGAACTTACATTACAAACATTTTTAATTTTTGCATACAGTTTACAACTGCTATATTAAAACAACTACCTTTAATAAAGCATCAAAACCATTTTGTTGTCCCAAAGATTTCTGCCATACAACCTCTAAACACAGTTTTAAACCTATTACTCCTCTTCTTGTTAATGGACTGTACCAAAACGGCAATCCTACCCAGAGCTCTTTCCATGGCCATTAAATGACTACAACTAGTAGTGTCAACCAAGTGGTTAGAGCTCATGGTTGATACTGCATTGTTTAAATAACAGGGTAATAGTAAGGAATAATCATAATAATAGTAAGGAATAGTAATAATAATAATAATAAAAGTAAGAGCAAAAACTAAATTAAATAATGCAAGAGTTTTATTGACACAAACTCCACATGCACAGTCCAACACATGGTTCCCAACTCAGAGACACTCTCCTCTTCAGTTCAAAAGTTGCAGTTGAAAACACAGAGTGAAAAATGAGGAACTTAAAACAATTAAACAAACAGAAAAATTACAAAAAAAAAAAAAAAAACAAAAAAAAAAAAAAAAAAAAAAAAAACCACTGCACAAATTAATTTGTAATGTTTACAATCAAACAGTATTTTTTACTTTACAATTAATCATTACTTTATAATTTATTATTAATTACTACATTTCCACACTAGCAGGCAAGTCATAAAGTAGAACATTCCTGTATATAGTTGTACATATTGCATATAGCTTTTATGAATACTTTTCTTATTATTTCATTGAAACTTCTATATGATTTCTGATCTTCCAAACTGCATTTTTGTCACTGTAACTCTATATTTGCAAATGTATGCCTTTGAGAGTTTGTATTCTTACAAACTCGTTCTGTCATGTAGTATACTTTCACAGTATCTTATCTTAAAAACTCATTACTGCTTTACCTTGCACAGCTCCGTCTGCGGCGCGTCTTCTTGTCTGGCTAATTCCTAGGCTTGCGGCATCTTGCTCGCCCCCCCCCTTCTGCCTCACCTCATTCTCTTAACTCCTACCACGTCAGACTTCCTACCGTCATGTGCCTACTGGCTCTCCTCATGAGCTGGAAACAGTGCGCTTAGCGCGCTACTCCAGCCATACTTGTTCGGATCGGATTGGATCGGTCGTCTTTGAAACTGTGAATAAACTGCTTCCTGCATACTGCAGCCATCTAGTGGCATTTGCCCAAGTTAATATTTATGTGCCAACATTACTCCCCTACCAGTAACCAAGTTACGATGCAAGGAAAATGTGGTAGGAGAACCATTACTACATAAATTTAGACTCATTAATATTGATACTACAATTTCAGAGCATGAAGTCATTACTTTTATATATTAACATTCTAATATCATTAGAAAAAGAAAATTCTGCATAAAACAGCATATTTTATACCATACTTTCTGAACATACATATTTAACACATAATATTCTTGGGAAATTAATATTTTTCTGAAAAACATATAGTATTATTGAATTAAATTACAGATGGATAGAACTTAAAGGTTTGCTCTTAAAACTCATATACGATTCTAAATTTAAACTACTACCAATATGAGTAGAATAGTACTTATTTATATACATCACAAATTTTTGATTTTCAGTATGTTGCAGTGTCATTAACAGAATAGAGAGGAATCAATACTATCTCAGAACGGATAAGATATATGTGCACTACACTATATTCCATTGAAATATTCTAGCCAAAAACAATAATTATACTTTTAAGATAGCTTATAAGAAGGTAATGCAAATGTTATGCCTATGCAAAACCCACTGCATTCCAAAGCACAAAAATGTCAACTCTTACTGATACATGAACATAAAAATATGAAGCAAAATTTCTAGAACAGTGATAAAAAAGAATGAAAGTTATATCTAAATATATTCAGACATAGTACATCTTCTTAAAGGAAGTTTTATTTCCTACCACAACGAGTGTTTGTTGGGAGAGTTACTATGATTCATTTCCTCTGAAGATCCATCCATCTACATCATTATCAAGCTTTTTGGATATCTCTGGCATGCTATCTGCATTCATAAGGTAAGCAGGTTTCAACCTATCAATAGAGATGTTAACATCTTTTCCTTTCTTTTTATGTGCACAGAATAATACTTATCATGTCTTTCTGCTACAGAAAATGGGCCATCATATGCAGGCTCTAGTGGTTTTTTCACCCGATCAACTCTCACGAACGAACATGAGTACAGGTCCTTAAATCTCTATGTACAAAAACTTTTTGATAAGATTGACATGTATCTGCAAGACTTCATTGGCTTTACTAGGGCCATCTGCTGCTGAAGATTGTACACAAATGTGTCAGGTTCAACGTGGACACTGGGTTTTTCAAAAAATTCACCAGGAAGCCTGATATTGGTACCATATACCATTTGAGCAACAGAATAGTTTGTACCATCTCTGATAGCAGCTCTTAAACCCAACAAAATAGTTGGGTAGCATATCACTCCATTTTACATTATTGTGAGCTTTTATTGCAGCCTTTAGTGTCCTGTGAAAGCGCTCTATTTTCCCATTACATTGGGGATGATAGGGCGTTGTATGCAGAAGTTTAGCACCACAAATAGCAGCAAGATTTTTAAACATTTGGGAGGTAAACTGGCGACCTTGGTCAGTTACAATACACTGTGGCACTCCAAATCTGCTCACCCAATGGTCATAAAAAGCTTTACTCACCAGTTCTGCAGTGATCTCTTCTAATGGAACTACCTCCATCCAACAGGAAAATCTATCAATGCATGTTAGACACATAAATTTTACCATTAGATGGTGGCAAAGGCCCAATCAAATCAATATGGATGATGCTAAATCTGGCATCAGGTTCTTGATATGTACCAAAGGTCGATTTGGTGTGTCTTGTTACTTTAACTTTCTGGCACTGCAGACAAGCTCTAGCCCAATCACTTGCTTGTTTCTTCATCCTGGGCCATACAAATCTGGCAGTTATCTGTTTTACAGTGGATCTGACACCAGGATGTGCAAAACTATGGATATGATCAAAAATTTTCTTGCGAAAACTTTGAGGTACATATGGGCGAATATTGCTAGCTGAAGTATCACACCATAGGACATTTTTAGATTGTAGTACATATTCCTTGAAAATTAATGAGGTGTTACTTGCAATTAATTCTTTCAACTCAGGGTCATTCTGTTGTGCCTTTGCAATTTCTTCATAATCAATTACAGATATCTCTTCAATTCTGGAGAGAGTATCTGCTACAATATTGTCTTTTCCACTAATGTGCTGTATATTTTGTAGTAAACTGGGAGATGTACTGTAACTGACGCAGCTGCCTAGGTGAAGCTTTATCATTCTTTTGCTTGAATGCAAAAATCAGTGGTTTATGATCAGTGAAAATTTGAAAATCTCGTCCTTCCAGCATGTATTTAAATTGCTTCACAGAGAGATATATTCCAAGCAATTCACGATCATATGTACTGTATTTTCTTTGAGCCCCATTTAGCTTCTTTGAATAAAATGCAACTGGTTTCCAGTTACCATCTTCATACTGTTGCAAAACTGAACCAATTGCCCAATCTGAGGCATCAGTGCACAGAGATAATGGACATTCAGACTTTGGATAACTTAAGAGGGCAGTATTAGCCAAGTCAGTTTTGCACTTCTCAAATTGCTTTATGCTTTCTTCAGTCCAAGGTACTTTACTTTTATCTTTTTTCTTTGCTCCCTTAAGCATTTCATGTAGCATGGCCTGGGTCTGCGCTGCATCTTTCAAGTACCTCCTATAAAAATTTACCATGCCTAAAAACGTTCTTAAGCCATGAAGAGTGGATGGCAGTTCATAATCAAGAATAGCTTTAACTTTGTTTGGCAGAGGTTGCGAACCAGAAGGCGTAATGAGATACCCCAAAAATTCAATTTCTTTAACTCCAAATACGGACTTTGACACATTTATGCATAGGCCATATTTATCAAGCCTTTCGAAAATTAAGCTCAGATGTGTTTTATGCTCATCCTCAGATGACGAGGCAATTAAAACATCATCAAGATAAGGAAAACAGAAATCAAGCCCTCGAACACCTCATGTACAAATCTTTGAAAGGTTGAAGGGAGCATTCCTCGGAAACCAAAACTCATAACGTTAAACTCGTACAGTCCAAATGGTGTTAATAATGGCTGTTTTTGGTTTATCCTTCCTCAGCTATGGGTATTTGATAGTATGCCTTTGAATAGGTCTAATTTTGAGACTTGAAATTGTTTTTTTGTTTTCCCACTTAAGATGAAATGTCCTCAATCCTAGGAATCGGGTATCTGTCCGGAATAGTCTGCTCATTCAGACGTCTATAATCACCACAAGGTCTTAAAGTTCCATCTTTCTTTGTAACCAGATGCAGAGGACTAGCCCACTGTGATTTAGATGGCCTGATTATACCATTGTCTAACATGAACTGAAACTCTTGCTTTGCCAAATTCAGTTTCTTAGCATCAAGCTGCCGAGCACGAGAGTAAACTGGCTGTCCTTTTGTAGCAATATAGTGCTGGACCTTATGTTTC